TAGGCAGGTTTAGGGGTCTGAATTATATGTGGCGCAGTGGGAGGATGGGGGGAAAAAAAAGAAAACCGGGGGTCGTTGTGTTAGGGGGAAAAAGAAGGAAGGGGAAAAATACTGAGTGATTATGAGCGGGTATCCTTAAGGTGTGATTATAAAATTTTGCTAAATTCGGGGCAATAGAGAAGAAAGGTCCTGGATCAGTGTACATGGGGGAAAAAGTTGGCATTCCGGGGAAGAAGTATGAGGGGCGGACATGCCCCTAAGGGATTTTATTTAGGACTGCACCGGGGGGGGAAAACTGGTTTAGATTGGGCTAATGCGTATGTTGTGTGAATAGGGATTTTTAAAAGTTTTTTGGAAACGTTGGGGTTTGGGGGAGGGAAGGGTGGATGGGTGCAAAACCTTTTATGAGGGGAGCAAATTTTTGGGTACAGTTAATGGGAAATTGGGGGACCCATACTGATGGAGAGAGGTTTGAGGCAGGCTGTCCCCTCTCTCAGTTATTGTTTTCCTGTGTACAGAATCCATTTTATGGGCTGGTGGGTGGGTGAGAAGAAACGGGGTTAGGGGGGGGGGGCGGGGGGGGGAATTTTTGGGGTACGTAATTTATAACCCGTGCTGGTAAGGGTGAGGAAGATCTAAAGGAAAAGTTTGGGGGGAAACATTCAGATTTTTGGGGCGCTACGGGTTGAGAGTTAATTTAAAGAAGTCGGACTTTTAGAGGGGGGGGATTGGGTGGGGGGGAGCTTGGGGGGGGGTTGGGAGGTCATATGGACGAAATTTAAGGTTTTTGGGGAAAATTTGGGACAGGCGGAAGTGCAGGAGATGGAAGATAAATTGGGAAATTAGTTACAGCAGGGTTTTGGGAGGCAGGAGGTTTTGGGGGAGGGACCCCTAAAATACGCAGGAGTTTTAGTGGTCAAATCTTGGTGTACAGTAAGGTGTGGGGGTGGCTGAGGTGTTCCTTTAAGAGAAAAAATATTGCAGAAATCCAGAGGAATTTTTTAAGGGATTTTTGGGGGGTTTGGGAGGGCAGGTTTAGCAAGGACGGGTGTGACGGAGAGGAACGTGGGGGGCTTGGCCTGATGTCTTGGGTATAGGTAATGGCTTATATATTAAACAAAAATTATACGGATGGGGGGAACAGAGGTGTCAGGGTAGGTAGGGGAATGGAGGTCAGAAGATGGTGGTGTGGAAGGGATTTTGATTTTTTTGGGGGACATGTTGGGGTTTTATTATGTTAAACAGGGTTTTCCATTTTAAAGGTCAAAGGGGGGAAAGGTGGGGGGGTGTGGGGGCAAGGGGTTTTACAGGGGCTTGCTGTATTTCCAACTATGACGGGATAGGCATATGGAGGAATTTGGCGCTTAATTCCAGCAAGGGTACGGAGTTTGTATACGGGTTTTGATGGGTTTTTGGCCCTAGGATGTGTTGTATAAAATGGGTTTGTGAGGAGGACCCCTTGCTTTATTGTGGGACTCGAAACGGGTTTTCTGCGGGATATTTTTGTCCCTCTTTGGAGGGGGGTTTAGGTTATGGATGGTGGAAATTATCAGACTTTTGGGGGGGGGGGCAATGGCCCTTCCTAAGGGCCCTTTTGTTGGGTGTAACGGGGGCCGGGGGGGGATTTTTGGGTAGGCCTTATGATGTTATGAGGATTATTTAATGTATTTGGGGGTGGGGAGGTTAGGGGAGAGTTGGGATAAAAGCGTTTGCAGCGAGATTTTTTGCTATGTGTGGAATAGGCAAGTCTATGGGGGGGGGTGGGGAGTTAGCTTCTCGGAGGGTTTACGGAATCCACTGGGGGGGGCCTCCTCCCCATAACCCGGGGGGGCAAAGGGTTGGTCTCCCACCGGGGGGTGCATGGGGGGAGTTGGTTTTTGGGTTCTTTTGTGGGATGGTGGGAGGGTTATAAAAAGAGGGAAGGGGAGATGAATGAGGAATTGGAATCTATGGTTTTTTCACTGCATCGGAAACCTTAAATTAAACCTGATGACTAAAACCCTTGGAAAAAAAAAAAAAAAAAAAAAAAAAAAAAAAAAAAAAATTTTTTGTTTATATATTATCTTTTAGACTGTTTATAAAAAAAAAAAAAAAAAAAAAAAAAAAAAAAAATGCCTTTGCTAACAAATACTCCATCCTAGCAGTCTTTTTTTTGATCTTGAGAAAGCATATGACACCCCTTGGAGGTATAACATTTTAGCCCAAGCCCACTCCTGAGGCCTCCATGGTAACCTGCCAACTTTCCTTACTGCTTTCTTATCTGACAGACATTTTTGTGTCGTGTTGGCACCTCGTTTTCCTCAGACTTTGTTCAGGCCGAGGGTGTCCCACAGGGTTGTATCCTTAGTACTACCCTTTTTCTCTTGGCTATAAATGACCTACCTTCCATTCTTCCATCGCATATTTAATTGTCACTTTATGTGGATGACTTCGCTATAGCTTACGCAGGTGCTGACTGTTGCCTGGTAGCTGCCACCCTTCAGGATGCGATTGAACGGGTTTCCCATTGGGCCACTTCTCATGGATTTAACTTTTCTAGTATGAAAACCAGATATTCCATTATATTTCCACGGCTCGGGTATTCCAGAATGTGATACGGTCAAGTTTCTTGGCCTTCTTTTCGATCACCAGTTGACATGGAAATCTCACATTTCCTCTTTGAAGGCAGCTTGCCGTGATTGGCTTAATCTCCTTAAAATTCTTGCGTATCGTTCATGGGGAGCAGATCACTGGACTCTCCTACGTTTGCATTCCACCCTAGTCTTGTCCAAGCTGGATTATGGAGACCAAGTCTATTGTGCAGCATCTCCTAAAACTCATTCTAAGTTAATCTCCTTCATCATCAGGGTCTACGTTTATGCCTTGGTGCCTTTCGTTCATTCCCTGTTGAAAGCCTCTATGCTGAGGTGAATGCTCCTTCCTTAACTGATCGTGGTGATGCTCATTGCCTTCATTACTTTGTCTGCTCTCATGGCCTTCATGTTCCGTCTACATACAGATTGGTCTCAGACGTTAGTAAAAGCCCATTACTTGTTCAACACCCCCGCTTACTCCAACTGTTTTCTCTTCATCTTCTCTCCAGTTGCCTCCCTTGTATGTTCATTTAGTGACTGCCTTTTCCCTTCCCCCTTGGGAGGTTCCAACAGTTCATGTCCGTTCTCCCCTACTGCCGTGTTCCAAGGCTTTCATACCTACGACTGCTTCTCTTTTTCTTGGTCACTTCCAGTCGTGTGCTCATGCCTTTGCTGTGTATACAGATGGTTCTAAATCTTCTGACGGTGTTGAGTTCGTGGCGGTGTTCCCAGACGATGTTGTCCGAGGCCATTTGTTAGACTCGGCTAGTATTTTTACTGCCAAGTTGTGTGCCATCCTCATAGTGCTTCTTATTACATATATGTCTCCTTCAACATTTGTGATCATTTCAGATTCCCTCAGTGCTTTACAAGCCATTAAACAATTTGATTCCCCTTATCCATTAGTCCTTCGTATTCTACTATGGTAGCACCGTGTGGCTAGCAAAAACAAAGACGTTGTTTTCTGTTGCAATCTTATCAGTTTCCTATAGAGGTATTCCGTTCAGAGATTATTTTCCAGTCATCTCTGCTCGTCTTCGCGGCGGTTGGCAACAACGGTGGTTGGGCATGCTTCATAACAAATTGCACCCTATTGAACAGCTTTTAGGTTTGTGGCCATCTTACCACCGTTGCCGTACTCGGGAGACTGTGTGCTCCCATCTCTGCATTGGCCATACTCGCCTTATCCATGGGTATGTCATGGAACGACACCGTGTTCCTCTCAGTGAGGTTTGTCAGGTCCTTATTTCAGTTCCTCACTTTCTTATAAATTGCCTGGTTTACCAGCGAGCTCGCAGCATTTACCTCCAGCGCTGCCACTGACCTACCATTCTTACCATATCATCCCTTCATACACACAGCCCTTTGTCTTACAATCACTTTTTTACTTTTTGTCAGCAACTGCTTTACTATACGAACTTTGACACTTAGCATCCCTTCCACCCCATTTCTCCCTTCACCACTGATCCCCCTCTCCACCTAACTGTTTATAGCCTCAGCACCATTTTCTGCCCCTCAGCACTGCATGACCCTTGTCGGTTTAGGGCTTTCTTTGGTTATAAAATTAATGAATTCAATGACAACTCAGAAATGTTCAAGAAATTTCAAAGTGCTTTATTCACACTGGTATACTACAAACCATTCTGGAAAAATATCCTGACTACTCACTGTAAATGAAGCATTACCACTTTGTGTATGTTAGTGTGTGTGTTTTATATTGTATTTATAGTGTTTTTGTTGTGCTTTTGTTTTTTTATATTTATGTTGTCTTTGTAGTATTTTTTGCAGTTTTTGTAATGCTTTTGTTTTTATGGCAGTTTTTTGTAGTTTTCGTAGTGTTTTTGTAGTATTTCTGCATTGTTTTTGTAGTATTTTGTAGTGTTCTGCAGTTTTTATTTTGTTTCTGTAGTGTTTTCGTAGTGTTTATGTACTTTTTGTAGTGTTTTAGTGTTTTTGTAGTTTTTTCGTGTTTTGTAGGGATTTCATATATTGGCTTCAGCACCACCAAGACTCGACCTCACAACTTTGGAATCCTTTTATAATGCGAGAATGAAGCCTCACTTCAACACTTCTACCTCTGTGCAGCTGTTTACAGATTAATTTTACTTTTTATTTCTAAATCTTTGTAACTTGCTCAGCTATCAAAACTTTGGGGCCCAGTCCCTGGACCCATTATGTACCTCTAATCTTTTGACTACCGCCCACTGGATGGGTATGGGGTGCATAATAGACTTATTAAACTAAACTTCCTAAATTTAAACACTTCGAAATGTGTGTATACATACGTACATGCATGTATACATACATCCATATAGAGAAGGTATCTTGGAGAGCCATCTCTTATGTTTGGCAGCGTAGTATAGTGAGTGTGTTGGCAGTAGGATCACTGCGGCTGAGTCAGAATCTTTAACCCGGTGTGTCAAGTAGTCGTTCTCATCTTGCATTGGTGGATCATTGTTGCTCAACTCTGATAACAGGACGTACTTTTCTTGTTTTGGCACATAACTTGATCCCCGAGAGGAACAGTGATTGGATCTTGTTCTTGTGCCAGTGGGTGCTTCTCTTGTCATATTTTCGTAATCTAGTCGACCTAGGTTGATTCCTTTGCTTTTAGTGAGAGCTTGGGAATAAAAGTCACTTGCGTTATTTCCTAATCATTTAACTTCTTTAAGACGGGCTGTGTTTAAAGAAACCTACAAATGCCTTTGCAAACTTTAATATAAATTTGTACAATAGATCACGTAGGTGAGTACACAATCAGTACATTACGCAGATTTAATCTACGTGACTGATTTCTGCTACAGAACTTTATATCAGCCTTCGGAAGCTTTGACTTTTATGGAATTTTACAAGTGAACTGACAAACTAGTGACCATTAGTTAAAAACGCATATCAGGTATTATTTTCTAACAGCTTTATACTTTATAACTAAGACGTCAGTCATTCTCACGTTCATGTGCTTTCTCAGTAATAATTTTCCTAATAATGAATATTTAAGTAAAAAGCCTGAAGGACGTTATTCAGTTTTTAACAGCTATTTAAAATGTTTTAATGTTACCTTCTGCCTCACTTAGCAGTCAATAGGTACCTCGGTGTTAATGAATGTTGTGGGCCGCCTCCAGGGAAAAGATAAAATAACTCTCATTGAAATAAAGTAAGTTATTAACTGTGTATGTTAATGTGAGAAATCACGAACGCGCTTGGCGTGTAACTATTTTTTCACTATGGTTATTTTATGCGTGTGGACTGATAGCCCAATGGTTGCAGCCTCGTGAATTTTGACTTCCCACGCAATCCACCATACGAACTACAGCCCGGCTGGTCAGGTACTGACTTTACAGTATGTTTTCGGTGATCTTTCTCACAATTACGGTACGTTATCGGTGCAGTGATCTTTCTTAAAAATACGTTATAAAATACGTTATCAGTACAGTGAATTCGACATCTGTTTAGCATAGAAGTACACTTACCATGTATCCAAAAAAGACGAAACTGCAACACCTTAAGTAACATGTATGACCAAATAACATTATTATATATAAAGTGGCAGAGGAAAATAAATCAGTGACACAGTAAAAGGATGAAAAATCGAGAAAACTAAACGTGATCATGAAATCATAATAAAGAAAAAAAAGGCAAATTACAAAATAGGCTATACCGACCAAAAAGGAGGGAAATTGACAACGAAAAACAGCACAGTAAAACTGATCGTAAAGTAAAAATTAAGGAGGCAAGTTTTATGTAGAGATGAAGACTTGAGAGGTTGAAGCTATAAGTGACGACTTCAACTTAACACTCAGGTATGTGGGTACATCTGTCTTGTACTGCTGGTGGGGGGGATTGGTGGGAAGAGGGGAAGGGAGAGAAGAGGGAAGAGAGAAGGGACGAAAAGAGTGGGAGAGGAAGAGAATCTTTGATTTCCCTGAATATATTAGTAACAAGTGTATACTTAAGAGAGATTAACATTTGATATACACAGAGCTGTGTATCTCTCAATATGTCAGTCGGACGAATTTCAGTTCCTCCATTATAGAAACGTGAAGAAATTAAAACTAGAGCGGAGCATATAACAAAGTCTAACCACAGAATACCCCTCAAGGAAGGTTCCTTGATGTTGGTGAGGGGCTCTTGATTTAGGGAATTGGATCTGTGCTCCAGTTCCCCGAATTAAGCCTGAATGCCTTCCACATCCCCCCCAGGCGCTGTATAATCCTCCGGGTTTAGCGCTTCCCCCTTGATTATAATAATAATAATAATAATAACCACAGAATAGAGAAAACTAAACGTGAAGGACTCGGGAGTGATAATGTTAGAGGATCTCGCCTTCAAGGATCACACCAGTCTCTTATCACTACTACGCTGTATAGCCCTTGTGGCTTAGCGCTTCTTTTTTATTATAATAATAATAATCATTATCACTACTGTGAGAAAAAATGATACGATGGATAATGAAAACCTTCAAAAAAGGGGTTACCTGGAGGTTATTCCGGGGATCAACGCCCCCGCGGCCCGGTCCATCACCAGGCCTCCCGATGGATCAGGGCCTGATCAACTAGGCTGTTACTGCTGGCCGCATGCAGTCCAACGTACGAGCCACAGCCCGGCTGATCCGGCACTGACTTTAGGTATCTGTCCAGCTCTCTCTTGAAGGCAGCCAGGGGTTTATTGGCAATTCCCCTAATGCTTGATGGGAGGCTGTTAAGCAGTTTTGGGCCCCGGACACTTATGGTGTTTTCCCTTAGTGTACCAATGGCGCCCCTACTTTTTATTGGGGGCATTTTGCATCGCCTGCCCAGTCTTTTACTTTCGTAGGGAGCGATTTCTGTGTGCAGATTTGGGACCATTCCTTCCAAGATTTTCCAAGTGTAGATTATGATATATCTCTCCCTCCTGCGTTCCAGCGAGTACAAGTCAAGTGCTTCCAAGCGTTCCCAGTAGTTAAGGTGCTTGACAGAACTTATACGTGCAGTAAAGGATCTCTGTACACTCTCTAGATCTGCGATTTCACCTGCTTTGAATGGAGATGTTAATGTACAGCAGTATTCCAGCCTAGAGAGAACAAGTGATTTGAAAGGATCATCATGGGCTTGGCATCTCTCGTTTTGAAAGTTCTCATTATCCATCCTATCATTTTCTTTGCACGTGCGATCGTGGCACTTTTGATCCCTTTAAAGTGAGATCCTCAGACATTACTACTCCCAGGTCCCTTACATTAGTTTTCTGCTCTATTGTATGGCCGGAGTCAGTAGTATACTCTGTTCTAGTTATTATCTCCTCCAGTTTTCCATAACGGAGTAGTTGGAATTTGTCCTCATTGAACATCATATTGTTTACCGTTGCCCATTGGAAAACTTTGTTTATATCTTCTTGGAGATTAACCGCGTCCTCAGCAGATGACAGCCTCATGCAGATCCTAGTATTATCCGCAAAGGATGATACGGTGCTGTGGCGTATATCTCTGTTTATGTCTGATATGAGGATAAGGAATAAGATGGGGGCGAGTACTGTGCCTTGTGGAACAGAGCTCTTCACTATGGCAGCCTCCGATTTAACTCTGTTGAATCGGAGGTGAATCTGGGGTGCCAAAAAGTTATGTCAAACGCTTTAATTAATGGGAACATTCGAAATTTCTTAGACCTGTACGCCTTCGAATATAGATAAGAAAAAACATCACAATTTACACCTGAAAAATCCTAGAGGGACTAGTCCCATATCTACACACAGGAATCACTACCTACGGAAGGCTCAGCAGATGATCAGTATACTCCCAACGAAAAACAGGGGTGTCCTGAATACAATGAGAGACACAATAAGTGTAAAGGGTCCAAGACTATTCAAGAGCCTCCGATCACACATAAGGGAGATTAGTAAAAATGGTTTAGAAAATCAATAAGCTAATAAATGAGACACTTGTGCAACACTTGGGTTGAAGCGTTTTTCTAGCCAGAGGCTTCTTCAGCCCAATATAAAGATCGGTTGAAGATTGAGGAGTTTGAGGTAATCAGTCTCTCACCAACACCCACATATAATTATTCACACCCATATAACATCCTCACCAACACCCACAGAACATCATGAATAACCACATAGCATCAATATCCACCTAATATTATCACCAACAGCCACATAACATCACTCGCACCTTTATAACATCTCTCAAACTCTCATAACTTTAACATTTACATATCGCTCACACCCACATAACACCACCAACACCCACATAACAAGATTACTATTATTCACATAACATCAGACATACCCACATAACACTTTCAACCATATAACAACACTCATATTTACATAGTAACTCGCATCCGTATAACATTCATACCCACTTAACATTAATCACACCCACATTACTCACACCCATATGACATCACTCATACACAACATAAGATCATTTACATCCACATAACATGACTCGCACCCACATAACAATATCACTCACAACCAGGTACATGAGGACATAGCTGAAAATTAAAAGCACAGACGAGTCACAGGGATATTAGAAAATATTTCTTTATCCTTAGAAACCTTTATATTTACCTCTGGTTTACCTTTGCTGAGTTTCGAGAGTTTTCGTACTCCCGGTCCTGGGTCAGGCTTGTCTGGTGCTTGCCTCGTCAGCCAGGCTGTTGATCTGTTGACCCACTTAATATTTTCTGCCCCGCAGTGCTGCATGACCCTTGTTGGTTTAGCGCTTTATTTGATTATAATATAATATTGGCCCACAGCAAAGTGGTTAAAGCAGAATCCATACATAGCTTTAAGAATTGGTATCCGAAGTTTCACCGAGCCAGAAGAGATTGAACACAGTAGTGGACTGCAGAGTAAACCCAGCGAGGTAACCCAGAAGTGGCCAGCAGAGTGAATCTAGTAGTGGCCAGCAGAGTGAATCTAGTAGTGGCCAGCAGAGTGAATCTAGTAGTGACCAGCAGAGTGAATCTAGTAGTGACCAGCAGAGTGAATCTAGTAGTGACCAGCAGAGTGAATCTAGTAGTGACCAGCAGAGTGAATCTAGTAGTGACCAGTCGAGTGAATCTAGTAGTGACCAGCAGAGTGAATCTAGTAGTATACTCTAGGTATGCAGTACTGACCAGTAGAATGAGTTCAATAGTATACTACTACAGGTATACAGTATTGACCAGTAGAGTGAATCTAGTAGTATACAGTAGTGGCCAGCAGAGAGGTAGATCCAGAAGATGAAACCTCTACAACCACAGTTAGGCGAGTACAGCTTAAGGTGAGCACCAGTACCCACATATTATCACTTATGCTCATACCATCAAACACACCCACATAACACCGTCAACACCCACAAAATATCACTGATATCCACAAAGCATGATTTACACCCACCTAATAACATCAGTCACATCCACATAACATCACGCTCATCATACTATCACTCATAACCTTAAACCCACACTTACTTAAAACCACTGAAACAGTTACATCTACGTTGGAACGCAGGAGGGAGAGATATATCATAATCTACACTTGGAAAATTCTGGAAGGAATGCTCCCAAATCTGCACACAGAAATCACTCCCTACGAAAGTAAAAGAATGGGCAGGCGATGCAAAATGCCCCCAATTAAAAGTGTCCGGGGCCCAAGACTGTTCAACAGCCTCCCATCAAGCATTAGGGGAATTACCAATAAACCCCTGGCTGCCTTCAAGAGAGAGCTGGACGGATACCTAAAGCCAGTGCCGGATCAGCCGGGCTGTGGCTCGTACGTTGGACTGCGTGCGGCCAGCAGTAACAGCCTGGTTGATCAGGCCCTGATCCACCGGGAGGCCTGGTCATGGACCGGGCCGCGAGGGCGTTGATCCCCGGAATAACCTCCAGGTACGTAACATCATATACACTTACAACTTGTACCCCCTTAGCATTACATACGCCCTCACATAAAACCACTTACACCCACATAAAGCATGAAAACACCAAGCTTGTTTGTGTATGTATAACACTTGTAAGGCTGATTTCTCAAAGGCAGCTATGTTGTCAACTTTGTCACCTGTTGATCTGACCGCCTTAATAAATCGCCGATCGAGTGTCGGATCACATCCTAAATAATTACTATAGCTAGAGGTGGAGCCACCTATGTAAAAAGAGGGGGATGGGAGAGGAATTGGTAAGAACAAAAGAGGCAAGGCGTCGAAGTGAATGACAGCAGAACAGAGGTGATGGGAATTGAGGTGGCTGCTCTTGTGAGACCTTCCCGTAGCCACTTCTGAAACCAGTGCTAAAGAAATTGGTGATGTGACTGGTTCGCCAAGGAGTGTTTCATGCTCGTGAGTAAGTGTATCTATTTTTTTTTTTGTCGGTCATATTTGGTATCCACTCTTTAAGAAACGGACAGATCATTTGGAATCATCTCCCGGTACTTGTAATATTTCAGTGTCATTGGCCTTGTAATAAGAGTTAATAAATAAAGTAATTATATTATGATCCCCATGTTCAGTTCAAGTATTAAGAATTAATTACATTCCTTTGTTATTTTGTATATAATTTTTTTTTATTAATATTTCCCTTTATTATCTCTTCATAGCCTGTCTCTCTTAGCTCTAGAACTGGTCTCATCATAAACCTCTGCCCTTCCTCCAATTCCTTGAGATGCTCGCCCATATGCGGGTTTTATACTAGTGCAGCATACTCCAATATAGGCATGATTTATTCCATTATATATATATATATATATATATATATATATATATATATATATATATATATATATATATATATATATAATGAGAGAGAGGGAGAGAGAGAGCATGCTTGCTAAGGTTCCTGTACGC